CTTTCTGGATATTGGCTGAGACCTCTCCTACAGAAACATCAGCATCAGCACAGAAATTTACAGTAACATCCAAATTTCTTCCCATCTTTTATCCTATCTATCAGTTTGCTTAGTGCCTGCATTTCTGTTTCCTGGAAAAAGTATAATCATAATACCCACATAGTTCTAAAATGTGTCTTTTTAATCCATACTTGAAAAATTGCTGGTTTCTAAACCAGCAGACAGGCCGAGCTTGGTGGCATATGTCTGTAATCCCAGTGGCTCAGTGGCCAAGGCAGAAGAATCACAGATTTGAAACCAGCCTCAGCAATCTACCAAGGATCTAGGCAACCCAGTTAGTACCTATCTCAAAATAAAAAACAAAAGGATGTGGCTCAGTGGTCCAGCACACTTAGGTTCAATCCCTGGTAACAACAACAACAACAACACACCTGCTGACAGATTTCTCAGATCTCATTCCTGGCCCCATTCCTCCACCTATCATGAACTGATAACCAATTTCTTCGTTTGGGGTGGAAAGATTACTCAACCTACAAGTTATCTATGCTGATAATATCTATGCTTAGAATGCTCTTTTGAGTCAGATAAATGTATAATCCAGAAAATTACACTCCTGTTAAAAGGCCTGTAATTTTAAACTGTTCAGAAGTTACTATACCCAAAGATTATACTGCTTGTTATCATTCCTCTCCTAAGGGAATCTAAGTTAAAATGTGGACAAAAAAGCAGAAAAGAACATGTTGTTTTAAGACTGGGGGCAAGAAAGACGATAAGGAAGGATCATGTGGGTGAGGATACAAAAGTTATGAGGTTATCCCACAAAACAAAGAAAGATTAAGTTTGGATATTTTTCCAACAAACCTATATGCCACATTCATATGGTTATATGACATAGACTCCCTTCTTGGGAATTAAAGGAACTATTGTGAGGTAGATTTATTCAATACCTAATTTCCCTTGAACCGCTAAGCCATTAAAACTAGCAGTCAGTGTAAATCCTGAGAGCAGAGACCCATCTTTCTCTGTAACTTGCCAGAATGTTTTATGCATATAATGGTACCCAATGAGAAACCATTAAAAATTAGTTGGCTATTAGGACAGTGGTCCTGGATCTCAAAAGATTCTTTCACCCTACTAGACACTGAGCAACGTCCGGAAACAAAGAAAAACAAAAGCCTCTTTTAAAGGCACATGGAGTTCAGAGATGGGAGAAAGAAGGGAAGCTGGTTGAACAGACCTCTGTGGTAGTCCTGTTACCCCTGAACCTCAAACTCTCTTTTGTAGCTCCAAATTATGAATCGTTGGGGAATTTGCTCTCCATTTTTTCTATTTGGTCAGGAAAATAAATCCAATATAATAAATTATTTTTCTGAATATTCACTGTAATGCTAAAATTTGGCAAAGAATCTATATGTAAGGGTTTTTTTTTTTTTGTTTTTTTCAATGCTGGGGATTAAACCCAGGGCCTCACACATGCTAGGGAAGCACAATCTTCTACTGAGGTCCACCCCCCCACACCCGCCTAAAGTTTTCTTTGATCATGGTCTATGTGCCATCTCCTGCTGCTAAGTCATGCTTTCATGGAACTACATTCTGGATGCAGATATTTTTCTCAAATAGCATTACACATCATGCCTACCACCAAACAAGAAATAAACTGAATGTTATTATGACAAATAATGGTGAGAGATGGAGGTGGAAATCTACCTCATTGAGGAAGGTCAGGGAAGCCCTCACTGAGGAAGTGACATTTAAGTTTGGAGATTAAAGTTAAGGTAACAGACAAAAAGAAAAGTGATGTAAGCAGAAGGGACAGCATGTGCTTAAGGATTTAAGAGAAGGTCATGACTATGGAGCAGTGAATAAGGGGGGGGGGGGGAGCATGGCACGCATTTTTTTTTTTAAATGCCTAATATTTGTAGACATCCTGCTAGGCCCTTTGTATGCATGCTTTTATAAAATCATTACTAGACACTTGACACCCAATCTTTTTCAAAACGAAAAAGGCATAAGAGGTTAAGAAACTTGGTCCAAATCACATAGTAAGTTGTGGGATTTGGATTTAATTAGATGTAGCATGAATGCAAAGCTCACATTTTTAACTCAACCTTATAGCCAAAGTTAGAGAAGCAAGCAGCTGCCAAATCACATGGGGCTTCATATGCCTTTGCAAGGAGATTGGATTTTATTTTAAATGAAATGGAATGCCATTGAAAGATTTAAGCAACAGTGGCATTATCTGCTTTACATTTCTAATGAAGCTGCTGTGAGGAGAGAAGTGGGAGGGGGAGTCTTGAGTAAAAGATCATTAAGTAGTAACAATGGAAAAAACAGTGGCCTGGATCAGAAGTGGACACATTCAAGATGTATTCTAGTGTCAGATTGCATTAGGCCAATGACTTAGATGTAGGGAATACAAGAAAGGAGAAGGCTAACCTAACTCCCGGGCTTCTAGCTTTGGATCAGGAATAGTCCAGGAATAGATTACTTGCAAAGGAGGGGTAGATTCATTCAATCATTTCATAAACCTTTATTGAGCTATGTGAAGATAGAACAGTGTACATAAAGTCTTGCCTGCATATAGTTTTACATCACTGGAGTGGGGGGCACAGTTAGACAAATTAACCTGTGAACCATCCGATGATGATAAGTGATACGGAATAAAGCAGGTTAAGCAGTAAAGAGGTTACTATTTTAATTGAAGGATCCTAAAGAGTCTTTCTAATGTATAAGCAGGATTTAAACAAAACAAACTGTCCTGAATATTTTGGAAGAAAAGATTTTGGCAATCTGAATGTGACTGCGAAGGCCCTAAGAGAGTGTTCTTGGACTGACAAAGAGGCCAAGGTGGTAAAAGAAAGTAGGTAAAGAATATAATGAGATTAGATCAGAGGAGGAACAGATGATACAGAACTTTGGTTGAGGATTTGGCTTTTACTTGGGGCAAAAATGGAAAAGTGCTGACAATTTGAACAAAAGAATGAAGGAGTAGTATTACTCTGACTACAAGAAGGAAATTGCAATAACAGGGCAGGCAAGGGTGGAAGGAGAGACACAAGAGGCAGTAATCCTCTAGTGGATCATACCAGGTGATGGTGAGAGGATAAGATTCAGTACAGGTTTTGAAGAGTAGATAGGATTTGTTGATGAAATTAAATATAGCTGCTTAACACTGGAGTCAAAGAGGACTGGAAGATTTTCTTTTTTGGCCTACATAAAGGAAAAATGACATTGCCATTTACTGAGTTGGTATGAGGTATGAGGAATAGATTTATAAATTTAAAATCAAGAGTTCAGTTTGCCATATTAAGATGGGATACTTAAGTTTAAGGCTTGTGGCTCTTAAACACAGATGTTGAATAAGCAGCTGTTTTCTGGATTTCAGAGAGGTCCAAGTTGAAGATATATGACTGATAAACTTCAGCATCTAGAAGGCATAAATCATAGGAATATTTCTAAGAAACAGTATAGATGGAGAAAAGATCCAGAATTAAACCCTTGATAAACTAAATCAATTAGACATTTCCATCTCACACCAGTATTCTTATAATAAAACTGTTTTTAATTTTTAACACTATCACTTATGATATGGGTGGTTGGTAAAGTCATCTAATGCATCAATGTGGCAGGGGCCAAATTTTTTTTAAAAAATGTACATATCTCCTTAAAAGAGAAAAGAACTCCCATCTATGATCACAAGGATACTAGGAATGTAAACAATTCCAAAATCTAGAGGTTGTAGAGTCCAGTAATTAGATGCATGGGTATATGAATCCACATTGTCTGGGTTTTAATTCTGATCCTTACCCTTATTATCGGTATGAGGTAGGGCAAGGCACTTACTGTGCCTTGGTTTTCTCAGTAATAAATTGGGGATTACTGGGTTATTGTAAAAGAATACACTGCTAACTCTTTGAACATGAAAGTTCAGATATCTTACCATCATTGGAACTAAACTAGTGAAACAAAGTATGGGAATGGAAGACCCTACTGCTAATCATGCTTTTTCAAGGCCTTTAGCAGGGCTTGTGGCTCTATTTAGATTTCAAATTGAAGCCATAACACATTGCTAAATGCAATTTTCTTAACTAAAGGCCTGCAGCTCCGGATGTGAATTTTAAAACAAAGCCAAAACACGACTCTCAAACCCTAGGCAGCCAAAATAATCTTCAGAGATAGGGAGGAGGGAAAGGGAGCAACCAGCTAGTCCTAGTTCACACACTGGAGTAAGATCATTTGATAAAAAGGCTTATCTGTGACTCGGACTAACAGGGCCCAAGTGTCTCTCAGTTATTTGATTCTCTCTTCATCTCTCCTCTTGAGACAAATGATACTGACTGTGCTTCCGAAGACAGAAAAAGGTTAAACCAAGCTTTATGAATGGGACTATAGCAAAGAAATAGGACTCCCACTCTATGGCAGCAACAGGGGAGGACTTCTCCCGAGAACCACCATCTATTCCTCTTTCCCTAGTATCCAGTAGCACAGTGGGGTCAAACTCCTCTCAGGTGGGTGATGGAGAAACAGCGACCTTCTCTCACCTGACACCCCCAACCCCGACTCTGTTCCCTGGCAAGCAAGCGCTGGCGTACAGCCACTACCCCTCCCCCGATGCCTGGCATCCGGACCAATACTAGGGGCCCCGGGCCCTAATCTCCAGTGTTTGATCGCCGGGCAAGAGAGACAGAGAAGAAACAATAGGGCCGTGGCGGCCGCCGTACCTCTCCCGGTCCCGGCCATCGAAGTAGACGAAATCGCCGCTCTGGACACACTTGGCGCAGGTCAGCCGCCGGCGGGTGGTGTTGCAGAGCGGACACCGCTCGACCGCCACGTACAGCCCCTCAGCGTCATCCACGGAGTCCACCAGGTCCCGGGCGAGCGTCTGGGGCCCGCAGCCAGGAGTCTCGGGCGCCCGGGCTCCCTTCCCACTGGGAGACGCCATGATGGCCTGAGCGCAGGGCCGGTCACGTGGGATTTTGTTTTCAACCAGGTGCATCCTGGGCGCGGAGGAGGGGCCTAGGAAGCGCGCTGGGGGCGGGCGTGGGTCTTGGAGGACCCCGGCCCCGCCTCGGCTGCCGCTTTGCCAGCCCTCCAAGCCGCAGCGAGTTCTACCCACGGCGAATCCGCCAAACAAAGCATCGACTGCTGGACGAGGTCAAGGTTGCGAGTTACCGCCTCAAATTTATGCAAAAAATAGCTGTACGTTGCCCTAAGGATCCTGGGGGAAAGGAATGGGAAACAGAACAAGGGAATTCGATTTTCTAAGGATGCTTTTCAGTTTGGCTAAAACCACATGAAAAAGTTGGGTGAGGGGTTGGGTCTTGGAGCCAGGTAAAAGTTTGACTCACCCACCTACTTAATAGCTGCGTGATTTGGAGCAAATTCTTTAACCTGTGTTTTTTTCTCCTCGTAAATGGATATAATTACAGTACCTGCCTAGTGCCATAAGAATTAAGTAGATCCATTTAATAATCTCATACTTTGCCTATATCAACCAGTGAAACCAACCAAACTGAATGTGTAGATCAAAGTTCTGTGGTTTTGAAAGCAATTCTAATAACTAATGGCCAACCTTCCTTCCCGACCCTATGTTCTAAAAGAATTTGAACTAGGTAGGTTAGGGTTTCGCTTCGAGTAAGTTTCTGGGGGTTAAGTAAGGTGGTGGGTGAGAAGGTTCGACTGTCTCTAAGCTACAGGATAAAAAAGAAAAGTAGGTTTGTGGGTCAAATCATTTAGACTGATTCTCAAGGATTATTTCTGTAGAATTGCCACCGACTACTGCCCTGAACTCTCTAGTTGGGAATTCTCTCCAAGTTCCACACGCAGAGACTCAGAACTGCCTCCTAGGTATGAAAAGATGTTCTGAAGCCATCACATACAGTCTCTGCATTAGAGAGACTGAAGTGTCTCTTGAAGGACATAATCAATGCCACGTAGAATGTTAGTCCCATCCCTGTTAACCCGACATCTCCGTAAATGCTGGTGATGCTACAACCTAGTTAGGTCTTCAGTCTGTACCCTTTGCACCTCCATCCTCAGTCTTATCTGGGTTGTTAAATACAGTTACTATGGAGTCTAAGAGTATGCAGAAAACAATTTGTATTGTTTCCAAAATGGCTTACTCTAAACCTGAATGGTTCCTGAAAGTGAGATTTTTTTAATATTTTTTAGTTGTAGTTGGACACAGTACCTTTACTTATTTTTATGTGGTGCTGAGGACCGAACCCAGGGCCTCACACATGTTAGGCAAGCGCTCTATAGCTGAGCCACAGTCCCAGCCCAAAAGTGAGATCTTTAAGTGACAATTTTCTCTGGATATTTCAAACAAAAGATTCAGGTTTCAGATTTTTCATTTTTTTAATTTTTTAGTTGATAGACCTTTATTTTTATTTATATGTGGTCATGAGACTTGAATCCAGTGCCTCACACATGTTAGGCAAGTGCTCTGCCACTGAGCTCCAATCCTGGCCCTCAGACTTTTCATGTTTCACTTGCATTCCCACAGGATCCTTTATAGTACCTTTATCTAATGGTCAGGATAATCTTAATATTTAAAAAAAAAAATCTATGCTGCTAAATGATATTACAGGTATTAGTTTATGCAGTTATTTGCAATTTTATACATTGCTACATATTCAGAGACCACATGCTACTGTATTACATATTTAACAAAAGCAGAAAATTGAATATTAATGATGCTAAAATATTCTAATAAGGCCATAAATCTTAAATTCTAAGAACAGTTTTCTTATTCAATTTTTAAAATAAGATGCAAGAGTCATTTTGTGCAAGAAATTTTCTTCATTTCTTAAGCATGGTTACTCACATAGAATCAACCACCCTATGAAAAGCCAAAATAAACTTGAACATCTACAATTAAAGTTGCAAGAATTCAGCTGTTGCTATGCTGGACTTATGTACATATTTCAATTAATATAATGTTGAATAACAGGCTCAGGCTTTTTTAAAACCTTTTAGAATAGGATAGATGTTTTCAAATGCTTCATAGATCTCAGAACGTTCTTTGGCACCTACAAAGAAAACCAAGTTCATATAATCTTTAATATAAAAATACCAAACTTTTCCTAACATTAAAATTTAATTGTGTAATCTCCAGTTACTTTGCATATGATGAAATCTCTTGGAAGTCTCTTGCACTATATGGGTGTCATCTTTGGCCCCACAGAGGTTAAATATAGAGTGTTCTATAAGTGTTCCAGGAACACAACCCCAGAGTGACTTCTTCAGCATTGAGCACTTCCTTTGATCCATTCATCTCTAGTTATTGTCTTGATTCCCTAATTTGACTAATAGATTTAGACAGAGTGGAGCTGTTCTAGAGTGTAAATTTTCAGTGTTTGGGAAGGAATTGGAAATTTTGCACCATTAGCATTAGTCTTAGCTTTTAAGGGATCTTTGATTATACTGCCTAGAAGTTAACAGGGATAAAAACATGAATTAGTCTTCACCCTTGAGAAGTTAACAGTTCCTACTTATCTCTCACCACCATCCCATCACCTTCAAAAGTATATGCACACATTGTACTGTCATGATGGCACTTCTGATGTCTATATAGCTAATCATGAAACTTCTGACATTTTTGTAGCCAGGAAGGTGGTTAATGAAAGGAACAAAAATTTAGCATAAGGAGAAATGGACAATAGCCAAAATTAGTACTATTCTTCCTTAAGAGCTATAAAGTTGGAGAGAAGAAGGCTTCATAAGAGAAAACCTGATAAGTTTTCTGGTTTTTGTACTAATGAGGGAATTCCAAAAAGGAGTGCCAATAGAGATGAGAAGCACAGCTGTCAGGATTCAGAATCAAGGATAAGACATTTTTCTTAAAAACAAAAACAAAACCCAAGTGATTGCAAGAGTGAATTAGTACTCTGGTAAGTTGCTGATGGAAGTACAAAATTGTTCAACTCCGGTGGTTCAAGAAATTAGGTGTGGTGGTACATTCCTGTAATCCCAGCACTTGGGAGGCTGAGGCAGGAGGATATCAATTTCCAGACTAGCCTCAACAACTTAGTGAAACTGTCTCAAAATTTAAAAACAAAAAGGCTGGGGATGTAGCTCAGTGGTGAAGCACCACTGGATTCAATCCCCATAATTAAAAAAAAAAAAGAAATTAAGGACTTAACACATGATTCAGCAGTTCTACTCTGGGGTAAATGCCCCCATAAAACTGAAAACAAACTTTCATATCAACACTATTCACAATAATCAAAAGGTGGGAAACAACATAAATGCCTTTCAATACATGAATGGATAAAAATTTGTAGTACATACATAATAGAACATTAGCTATAAAAAGAAATGAAGTGTTGACACGTGGTAAGATATAGATGAGTCTCTAAATAAAGCCAGATGGAAAAGGTCATCTGATTATATCTATATGAAATTTCCAAAGTAGGTAAATCCATGGAGACAACTGAGACAGGTGGTGGTAGGGGGACTGACTCAGGAGAGGGGAATGGGGGGAAACTAATGACCCAGGATTTTGAAACAATGGAAATGTCTTCAAGCTATATAGAAGTGGTGGTACATTCACAAAGTACAACTTTATGAAAGTATGAAATGCCACTGAACTGTTGACTTTAAAGTGGTTGCATTTGTTATATGAATTCCACCTCAGATTCTTTAAAGAAAGTTCATGTAATTTTAAGGTTTTTTTGGTTGTTGTTGTTTTTGTTTTTATTGGGAGAGGCAAGAGCAAACGGTTACTTATTTACTGCCAAGGAGTTTACTATTTGTGTCTCCACCCTGAAAGATGTGGGTAGGGAGGGCAGAGAGATAAGCTCTGTACCTCTGTAGCGAAAACTCAGATGATTTTGGTTTCAGTACTGAAGTTTGGTTTTTATAAAACCAGTGTCTTTAGAAACTAAGACAGTGAGTTGGGGAAGAAGAAAAGATTATTGTAAAAGAACCCCTTGTCTCTGGCTTTATGTACATGTTTGACTGGAATAACCTTTTTAATGTAGAATGAAGAATGGTTACAGCAAACCTACCATGTGTCCCCCCCAACCCTCGCCCCTGCTCCCGATCCCGATCCCCCCACCAAAAAGATTCACCTGAAACCAAGGCTCTCCTTTCTACATTTCACTGAGAAATGTGTTCAGGTGCAGCAATTTAAATAATGATGTACTTTTTCTCCATAACACTTTAAAACCATGCCCGAGAGCATAACATTCAAGCACAAAGAACATACCATCTAGAGTCTCCTGGGAACCAGAAAACACCCATTGCCAAAAGGGAATGGACACTGGAGAGGTCATTATTTTATAGCATAGGAAAGTGTCTTTAAACACAAGGGCTGTAGGAAAACTACCTTGTGCATTTTCTTCATTTTATGGATTGGAGAAAAGAGCAAGAAATCAAAGTTATCTAAATCATAAAATAGTTTCTGTAAGCTGGGGTTGTGGCTCGCATGCGTGAGGCACTGGGTTCAATCTTCAGCACCACATAAATAAGTAAAATAAAGGTATTGTGGCCATCTATAACTTTAAAAAATTCTTTTAAAAAATAGCCGCTATGGTAGAAGAGGTCATGTATCAGTGTTTCTTCTTTTACACCAAAGGTCAAATAAGCATCTCTAATACTGGTAACTAGGTGTTAACTGAGAGAATTTAGTTAATTTAGTCAAGTTTTGGGGGGAGGGGTGTTAAGGATTAAATCCAGAGTCTTGGGCATGCTAAGCCACCATGTTCTACCACAGAGGTATGACTCCAGCCCAGTTTAGCCAAAAAAAAAAAAAAAAAAAAAAAAATTGGCAGGGAGGAGGGGATGTTTCTGGGGATCAAATCCTGGGCCTGAAACATTCTAAGTAGGTGCTTCACCACTGAGCTACATCGCAAGCCCTAGTCAAACATTTTAGTCAAACATTTCCTCACTGAAATGCTGACATCAAAATTTAAGGGAGGGGCTGGATTGTGGCTCAGTGGTAGAGTACTTACCTAGCATGTGTGAAGCACTGGGTTCAATCCTCAGCACCACATAAAAATAAAGGTATTGTGTCCAACTACAAAAAAATATTTTAAAAAATTTAAGGGAACTTTAATTTGTTCCACAATCCTATTCAAATCAAATCAAAACCCCCAATTTGTAGCACCAGACTAATTATATGGCCCTTGACTTTTAAGCAAATCATACCATTGTTTTTCTGTAGGCAGTAATGCTGCTACCGTGGGGAATAAACACTATTCCTAACCTTAGTGACAGAGGTGGAAAGGAGATTCTATGGCCTGGTACACTGGAGAAAGGGCTGGCTCTGAAATCAAGTAAGGGCTCAAATGCCAACTCTACTTGTTTTAACATAACAGGCAATTATTTAACCTCCGAGTTTTAGTTTCCTTATCCATAAAATAGGTACAATAGGCTTTATCATAGAGTTGTGATAAGGGTTATATGATTATTGTTTATGGAAAGTCCTCTGGAAGCCAGAACATTTTGTAAACCTTATTTTTTTTTGTCCTTGAATATACTTCAAGATAAGAGAAGCTGGGAAAGCTGGTCCAAGTACCTGACTTCTTACTTGGTAAGAGCCACTGTCACATAATTTGCATGTCTCCTTCGTCAGGGCTGGGTTCCTGCCAGATACTAAGTTGGATCCTCAGCACCTAACAGTACAAATACCTGGTATGCACCCCAAAATAAGCATATCATTTGTCAATAAGGGTTGCCAGCACATTTTCATGTCTTAGCCAGCCCATGTATCAATCTCCAATACTACTTGGACTTCCCAATGCTATTCTTACCAAGAGTAGAACTGTCCATTTTATTTTCCCTAAGTGATGCCACATTTGTGTGCACACAAGTTCAAATCTTACATTTTTTTTAAAGTAGCATTAAACCCCTGAGTACTCATTTTATAGTACATACCAACTTGCTGTATGATTGACAGACATGCTGTGTTCCCTCTGGCCCACTCATTCATCAGCTCTGCCCTTTTCCTGCTGTTCCTGACCTATTTTCCAAGAATCACTGAGCTATTGAGGCTGACCCTCAGTAACAATGACTCAGCTTCTTAGTCCTTTATTTTGGAAAAAAAATAAGTAAATGTGAAGCATTTTACTAAATCCTCTTTAGACATCCTGTTCCCATCAGAGCAAGGCATCACAACTAAATTCTAGTCTTTTTCAACTTTACGGAAACAACCAGGAGAGTAGGATTGTTTTGTATTTTTGTACTGGGGATTGAATGTAGGGACACTGAGCCACATTCCCAGAACTTTTTATTTTGAGACCAGGTCTTATTTTGAGACAGGATCTTGCTAAGTTGCTTAGGGCCTCACTAAGTAGCTGAGGCTGGCTTTGAGCTTGTGATGCTCCTGCCTTAGCCTCCCAAGCCATTGGGATCACAGGTGTGCACAACCACACCCTGCTAGGTTTATCAAAGATCCTAACAGCTAGTGTTTACACCATATATGGGCACTGTTTTCTGCTTCCTCTGAACACTTAGGGAGTTTCTATGGTTACCTGCATTACACATATGAAAACCAAAAAGTGGAAACTTAAATTCCTCTGAAGTCATGTGGCTGATAAATGGCAGAGCCTGGATGCAAACTGGATAGTCTCCAGTGTACATCTTGGCCATCACACCTGTTCCCCCTCACCACTAAGTATTTATCATTCCCTCAGCTGACAAGAATTAGAAAAGAAGCACACAGGAGACCATACAGGTGTTATCATACATAGATCTCTAAAGAACTGGTTGGCCTTGTTAAGGTTACTAAATTTCTCCATTGTCTCCATTTTATAGGAGAGGAAACAGGTGTAAAGTTCAATCTCAGAGATAAATAGACCCCATGTACAAGTTGCTAGCACAGTGCTGGCATGAGTGCCCAACAGCTGTTAATTATTACACCTGATCTCAGAAGTGAAAGTTGATTTATTTGCTGTTTCTTGTGTATTATTCCAGCAGAATAATGAGGCTATTAATTTTTTATTAATAGTGAGGCTATTAATTTTTCTGTGGTCTGAGGAGAAACCTGGGTCCTTAATGTCACATCAGTAACAGAAAATGAGGGAAAACAGTGTAATCTCATCCCAGGTACCACTGCTATCTGCAACAACATGAGATGATGATCAAGGAGCATAGCAGGGCCTTTTTGTCCTTAGCTCACTTTTTATTAGAACATTCAGATGTAGCCCTAGGACATGGTGACTGCAGCTTTGGCACCTTGGGAGTGAGAATTTTACATGGGTTATTATTTTCTAAACCAGGAGCTGTAGCACAATCCTGTAATCCCAGCAACTCCCAAGGCTGAGAGGAGAATCACAAGTTTGAGGCCAGCCTCAGCAATTTAATGAAGCCCTAAACAACTTAATGAGACCCTATCGCCTTCCTCAATTAAAAAAAATTGAGGATATAGCTCAGTGGCAAAATGCCCCTGGGCTAAATAACCATAACAACGAAATCCTAAGGCCTTGCAACTGGCATGTGATACAGTGGTTTCAAGTAGCCACACATTTGTATTATGCACACTGGTGTTTTATAATTCTAGGGAAAGGCTGGGAATCATTTTCTGCAAACTCAGAGTGAATTTGTAACTTCAACACTTGAGAATTTTCTAGGCAAAATATTTGTTCTTGTTGAGACCATACTTTCAAAACATCTCTACTGAGACCTGATCTTGCCATGGTGTCTGAGGCCACATGTGAGCCTCTAGGACTCTGTTGAGCACCCTACCCAAGCACCCCAGCTTCTGCATACAGGCAAGGCTACAAAGAGGCTGCCTTGGTCCCTTTTCCTGGATGTTTACTTGCCCTAAATTGGGCTCTTCAGTTTTTAATTCTTTTACATTTGAGAGGAATGTAGGTAACTAAGGTTAATGAATAAGGAACATTCATCTCTAAAGTTGAGGGGAAAGTAGCCTAAATCTTGTAGCTCTAAGCAAAAGTAATTTAAGACAATATGGTATAAACAAAAGACAATATGGCATTAACAGGTAAAAACCCAATGAATGATAACTATCCATCAATTTAGTAGTAAGTCATGGATTGACTTTACTTCCCAATAGTACAATTTGAATTTCAGTTAAAATATTCATCCCCTCTTTCACAAAAGTGATGATTCACATTTGCAAGGATGAAGAAATTGTGTTAGGAAAGCTGGGTATAATGGTGCAAAGAATGAGGAAATTTAGGGCTGTGAACTGGTAGAGCCCTTGCCTGGTATGCATGAGGCTCTGAATATGATCCCCAAGCCCTGAAAAGAAAAAAAAATTGGAATTGCTTATTTTACTTGCTTAACACAAGATTGTGTGTGTATTGGGGATCCAGCCCAAGGCCTGGAGCATGCTAAGCAAGTGCTCTACCATGTAGCTATATCACCACTCATTTTTATTTTTAATTTTGATAGAGTTTTGCTAAATACCAGAGGTTGGCCTTGAACTTATGATCCTCCTGCCTCAGCCTTTCGAAGAGTTAGGATTATAGGCATGTGCTAACTAACATACCCAGTTTACTTACACAAGTTTTAAGGATGTACATTTGTTTGCTCTTCAGGATTCTGTAGTAATGACATAACTTGTGATTTGAAACTTGCAGGAAATGTGTAAATGAGTTTTTTTTAAATTTAGGTTAAGTGGGAAAGCCATTTCTTTTCCTGCCTCAACCTCCCAAGTCACTGGGATTACAGGTGTGCATCTGGCCATGGAAAACTGATCTGAATTGAGAATATTTAAAGAAATCTGTAATAGGAACTTTAGTCTGTATGTGGCAACGTGTACATTTAATGAGATTGATTCATAATGATACACACAATGTACGTGGAAGTATACTTCCAAAAGATCTTGAAAAGTTTCTTCCTATTAAGTAGGATCCATATATCAGTACTACTCAATTTACTTAGCAGGCTTTCCCCTTCCTCTAGGATATACATGCTAGTCACTGGGAAGTCCCAATACTCCCGAATCCAAATTTGTGACATCTGAGGAACTGTAGTTTTGCTCTAGTCAAAAGAATCAAATTTCCAAACAGGCTTTACCTGCTTTGAAGACAGTTATTTCTAAAAGAGCAAACTATATAACCTTATGAGAGTTATAAAAGACTTTTTAAAACAAACATTCCATTCTGCTGGATGCCAAGTTGACAACAATTTTTCTTAGTTCAGGTAATACAAAAATCTTGGGGTGAGTGAGTACTGGGAATTCAACCCAGGGGCACTTCACCACTAAGCTACATCCCTAGCTCTTTTTATTTTTTATTCTGAGACAGGGCCTTGCTAAGTTTCTGAGACTGGTCTTGAACTTGGGATCCTCCTGCCTCAACATCTGGAATTACAGGTATGTACTACTGTGCCTGGCACAAAAATCTTAATTTTTAAAGAGGAGATGAAGTTTTTTTTGGAAGAGTAACTGCAAGAGGTGATAAGAAAGATACAGAAACAAGGAGGGGAAATTGGAGCTTTCTATCAGATATAAAGAACACAAGAATTAAAGATTCATGAGGATAAATGCAGTAGGATTGCAATAGGCAGAAACAGACCCACATGAAAAAATAAAAGTCAAAAATCACAAAGAGAATAAGAATGTGCTACATCGATTTGGGTGGTTATTTGGGAGTGGGATGTGAAACTCAAATTTGGCTCATGCTTTATAAACCTGACATTCATTTTGGGAGAAGAGTAAAATACAAAAAAAAAGTCAGATAAAACTAGGCAAAAACAGCAAACTTTGGTGAAATTACATGGAAATTCAATCATTTACCTCAAGAATTTTTTAAAGCCTTCTTTATGTAAAAATTGGTAAAAAAAAAAAATCAATTAAGGGGAGCCTAGTGGCATGGTGGTACATGCCTGTAATCTAGCAATTCTGGAGGCTGAGGCAGGAGGTTCAAGGTCAACCTAAGCAATTTAGTGAGGCCCTGTCTCAAAAAATTAAAAGGGACTGGAGATGTTGCTCTGTGGTAAAGCACCCAAGTTCAATCCCCAGTATCAAAAAAATTAATTAATGGAAGAAATTCACAAATTTCTTTAAGATTATGGTGAATTAGTACAAATTCCAAGGGGGGCAAATAACTAAAACTTGACAAAAGGGTATGTTATGTACACACTATTTACATGAAAAAAATGCTACTTATTGGCTATGTTGAAAAGCTATCAATTTCTATTTCTGATTACTAGTAATGTTAAAGTAGTAAGATCATTTCACTTACATAATTTAAAAAGTTTTCTACTCTTTTTGCGTTGCTGAGGGTTTGGCAAAAGATACTTAGATACATCGCTGGCAGGAATGTATGATACAAGAAAACCATTGTATACCTTTAAAAGAATTTGGCAATTTGTACTAAGAACCTTGAAAGCAGTCATATCCTCAGAAGTTCCATTTCTGAGTGTCCACACTAATAATTCTGCACAAATTAAAATAACCAAATGTTTGTGCCATTTATAGGTAGCAAACAAAAAATGAGCTCAAGTATCTGACACTGAGAATAATGTTGATTCAACTTGCTAGAATAGGGGTCAGAAAATGTAGGTCTGCTGGCCAAAGTCAGCCCTTTATTTTTGTTAGTCTGTGAGCTAAGAAGGATGGTTATGTTTTTAAGGAGAAGCTGGGGGCAGTGATCCACACCTGTAATCCCAAATACTTGGGAGGCTGAGGCAGGAGGGTTGCAAGTTTGAGGCCAGCCTGGGAAACTTACCTGTCTCAACAAAGGACTAGAGATGTAGCTCAGTGGTATAGCACTTGCCTATCCATAAATTCTATGAAATTCACAAAAAAATATACAAGCCCATTCTCCGTGTGATTTACACAGCTGCTTTTGTACTACAGTGGCAGAGTTCAGTAATTCCAAGAGAGACCCCATGGCTCACAAAGCCTAAATACTTATTATTTGGTCCCTTATGAAAAAGGCTTGCTGACCTGTCTTAGAACATTGTTTAGCTATTAAAAACCATCATAAGTATGCATCAAGCTATTTATTAGTAAGCAACAAGCTACTTATTAAGCTACTTATTAGTAAAATCTTAATAAAATGTACTGAATGTAAAGATGAAAATATATATAAATATATGTGTGTGTGTGTGTGTGTGTGATAAAAGTGTTATCCTGAGGACACTTTTTTTTTGGCATACAGCACTGGGGTTCAAACCCAGGACCTTGTGAATGCTAGGCAAATACTCACCTGCTGAGCTATGTGCATATACCGCCCCCCCAAAATGACACCCATGGAAAAAAAGCCATATTGTTTTAGGAATTGGGGCCAACAGGTGATGTTATATTACTTTATAAACTCATTTTACCAATATTCTATAGTAAGAAATTACCTTCTAGGGAACAAAGCTATTTAAAAAGGAAAAGCAAAGCATATACATAGCTATTGAATTTTGTGAACGTCAGAAAATAATTTTAGAACTTACCTGTCAACACAACTTTCCCAGATACAAAGATAAGCAACACAATTCGTGGTTTTACCATTCTATAAATAAGGCCAGGAAACAGTTCAGGTTCATAACTGTTAAGACAAAAAAGGAAAATGTAAAAAATAGCACTATTCAGCTACTTTCCACAAACATTCAAGACCCAGTATATTAAGCAGTTGTAAATAACTGCTATTTAAAAATCCAAAAAAAAAAAAAAAAAAAAAAAAAAAAAGAAAAAAGTACTTTTAGTTATCTTGATTAAAGTAGTATCCTGAAGACACTTTTTTGGGGGAGCATACAGTACTGGGGATCAAACCCAGGGCATTGTGCATGCACTTACCCAATGAGCTATACTCCAACCCTGAGTATAGACACTTCTGGCAGTCAAGAACAGAATTTTTGGTTATATTTTTTCATTTTCAAGTCAGCCTAGGTTATTAGAAATTGAGGTAATTTAGGGCATCAGATTTAATGTATTATGACCTTGTTGATTAAAATTCTCCACCTTTCAACAAAAGCCTGCCAATAACAGTACATGAATACAATTTTCTGGATTTTCCAAGTTCCTAATAATCAAAAGCTTTAGTGTTTTTTAGCCCAGATAGGGCCTAAAAATTTCTAGACCAGTGATTTTTTCTTTGGACAATTACTATGTAAAGAAAGATAACTAAACTATCCTGAGTTTGTAAAATTCAGAATTTGTTCCTGTTCCTGTGAATAGTAACTCATTCATATTTACTACCAAATGTAATCTGGCTTCTATGGGACAAAAGATGATAGGACTTAAAAACCGCCTTTCTATACCCCAGTTCAAACAGGACAGAGTCCATAAAGAGGTTGAGAAGCTGCCCACATGGAAGTCAGGAGATAAGAGGAGGCTGATGAAATGTTTTCTCTGATAAGTGGATGCTGATCCATAATGGGAGGGGCGGGGGAGTGCACCTGGGAAGATTGGAAGAACTTTGAATTGGACAGAGGGGAGGGGGCATGGGGGTAGGAAAGATGGTGGAATGAGATGGGCATCATTACCCTAGATACATGTAAGATTGCACCAATGGTGTGACTCTACATTGTGTACAACCAGAGAAGTGAAAAGTTGGCTCCATTTGTGTACAATGAATTGAAATTCATTCTGCTGTCATGTACAACTAATTAAAAAAAAAGGAGGCTGATGAAGTAAAACTATTCTCAAAACAATGGCTAATGAAGAATAAAGAAATCTGATAATATAATGTACACGAATATTTGCATTTAAAGGGTAAACCCAGACCACACAGAGAAGCTCTGTTTAGTTCTACAATGAATAAAATCCATAACAGATGTGAAACCTCTTATTAGCACCAGAAAGATGCACTGCAGTTGTGATGAGAGCCTTGTGTAGGGCATGAAAGTCACCATGGTAGATCTTTCCTCTGGAACACCACTCTGCCTTACTGCAGAAAATCTATCAGGATTCCCATCCACTTTCTGCTTCCTGGTCTTCAAGAGACCATGATACTAGCTGAGTCCTGAAAACCCTTCCAGAGCTTTGATGTCCAGGCCAATAAGATGAAGGCTGGGGAGACAGAAGGAAAGTTTTCATCTCATCTTCCAACTGAATCTTAGGAATCTGAGGGGGAAAAAGTAAACAAGACCTTGATGTGTAAATGGTGAACTGCAGTGGCAGAGTTCAGTAATTCCAAGAGAGATCATTTACCTTCAAAATCATGGTTGTAAGGTAACCAGCATAATGAACTCCTGATTAGATATTTATTTATTCTGTTTCATTCTATAAGAGAGGCTGGGAATATAGCCGAGTGGTCAAGGTCTCAGATTCAATTCTCTTCTCTGAAAATAAATAAGGGCTAAGGCAGAGAAAAGGAGTAGTTTTTGTTAAGAAGATATTCCATATAGACTGAGGATATTAAACTCCTGCCAATTTCTTGGCCATCCTGAGTCATTCTTTAAGTCTCATGTGAAAAACATTGACTAATGCATATCATAAAAGCTAAATCTCAGAATGAAAAACCTAGCAATTTTTAACTTCTGTTGAGATCATCTTTAAAAGAAAAACTAATTAAGGTTAAGAAAAGCATGACTTCCACTATCCCCATCCACTCTATTGTTCACTGGCAAAGAGAAGGTAAAATGTTTGAATGAAAGAACTTAATTTCAAGCTTGATCAAGAGAATTTAAAAGCATTTGTGATTCTAATTACAAGTTAGATGCGTTAGCCCAGGTGCATAGCCAAAGGAGTGGAGGGATTTGGCATTGCTCTGAGGGCCAAAGCAGGTAGGGTCAGAAGAAAAAAAATGGCGGTTCAAACAGAAAGTTAGGTGTGAAGAAGACATGAAGGGCTGGAGACTTCCTTGGGAGTAAAATACAGTAAAGACAACATTGTGATGGAGGATACAGCTATAGTCACCAAAAGAGCCACCCCCAACAAAACAAGTAGGTACGATTGCTTTTTTAGAATATGCTACAACAATTTTTTTCTTCATTTTTATCTCCAACCCTTTCTCTGCTCACCAGCTGTAACCCCCTCCTATTTGCCCAACCAGTATTGCACCCCTTCATTTCTTGCTGTTGCCATCAAAGTCATGTGTGCCTGTTTTTTAAGTCTGTCAATCAGTGGGTCTCAAACCAAAGGCCACTGACCAGGAACACTGGCATCACCTGTGAGCTTTTTAAGACTTAAAATCAAAGTCTTTGGTGATGTAGCCCAGCCAGGAATGTAGACTCTAATAAGCTGTCCAGGTGATCACTATACAATTTAAGCATGAGAACCACTTTTTCAAAAGAATGGGCCCATATGTTGATCCATAAGGACTCAGACACAGCATCTGAACCATCTAACCTACTGTGCCTCCCCCTCTTTTGATAATTGCTTTCTCTAATACTTTATATGCTAAGAGTGCAGTGCCTATCTGTAATCCCAGGAGCTTCGGAGGCTGAGGCAGGAGGATTGCAGGCTCAAAGCCAGCCTTAGCAATTTAGTGAGACCCTGAATCAAAACAAACAAACAAACAAACAAAAACATAAGGGCTGGAGATGTTGCCCAGTGGTTAAGCACCCCTGGGTTTAATCCCTGGTATCCAAAGCAAACAACGACAAAAAAAAAAAAAAAAAAAAAAAAAACCAAACATATATAAATAGCTCACAATGAAACCTCAAAATCTTGGTAAATGCAAAGTTAAGCTCTATAACCGTTTTGTCATACCTACTGAACTGCTGATGGGTTAACACCAAACCCTCCAGCCTGATGGAAAATCTCACGTCGCAGCTTCCAACCATGTTCTGAATTTTAAAATCGAGAAATCTGGCAGGGAACCCAAGCTTCTGTACCACACGAGCATACTTTCTTGCTGCTAGTCGAGATTGCTCTTCACTGGGGAAAGACAAATATAATTAAAGACATCTTAACACATGTCCCCTTTAATATTTGTGCCATATTTACATCATTCTTATTTTTATTCTTTATACCATGTTTACCTTTCAGTGTGTGCTATGTAACTGTAGGTTTCAGAAGAACCTACCTCCCATAATTCTGTTCCCAGTATCTTGTCAAAGGTCTGATACAATGTACAGTTGTTCAACTGAACCATAAATTGTCTTAATTCTTCACCTGTCCCATATAAGGTACTTTTACTTGTGTTATTTGATAAATGAACTATTCCACTGGTTCTCAGTGTGTGTCTTCAGATCAGCAGCAGCACCTGAAAACTTGTTGGAAAGACCAAGCCCCTGGTTCCACCTTAGACATGCAGACACTGTGCGGGGGGGGGGGGGAAGACCCTTGTACTGGTATTAATAAGCCCTTTAGTGCTTCTGATGCTCGAAGCTTGAGAACCACCTATCTATTCTAAAATTTAGGGTGTGCAACATTTATGGTGGAACAAGGACAAAATTTAAAAAGAAAAAAAAAACCCAGAAGGAAGAAAGCTTATGTGCCAATTGAGTGGTACAGTCTTGAGTCTTTATGTAATAAAATGCTAAAAATGTCAATACATTTAAACCTGCTCAATTTTGCTCAGACTTTCTCATCCACCTCTAACTCCTGAAATGTCCTTAACAAGACCATGTCCCCCACCAGTGGTAAAGTTAACTTCCATTTTGAAAAACTACATTTTGCCATATGACCCATTACATTTCTCATAATGTTAATGAATTCAAATTATAAGAACTAACATAATTCTGTAGTTCGAGATACCATGTGTGACCATCACATATAAATTCCTCTTGAAGCCGGGCATGGTAGGATTTGCCTGTAATACCAGCAACTTGAGTGGCTGTGGCAGGAGGATTGTAAGTTTGAGACCAACTTCAGCAACTTATGTCTCAAAAAATTAAAAGGGACTGAGATTTGCTCAGTGGATAGTGCCGAGTTGGCCTCCCAGTACAAAAAACATTCCTATTCAAGTAACAGTTGAAAGTCTACATTGTACAAACATTAGAAAATGTGTTTAAAACCTTGAAATCTCACCAAAAATAATAACCACTTAAATTTTACCTTTTGCACTCTTCCCAAGCAAATACAGTGCTCTTCACTCTTGCTATTATAACTAAATAGGTTTAGATAATAAATCTCTCTAACTGATCTCACTATCCAAGCTTTTACCTCAGATTTTAGAAACCAAATTCAGAGGGGAAAGATTCATGAATGTGTGCATAATATGAGCATATCTCACAATGAAAGTTGGATAATGAACCTATAATTTAGTTGCCTGCTCCACAACCAGTCCAACATAACATGTGACCATCCTTCCAATTCAATATCCATGTATACAGCTAATGCAATTTACTTTGACTTTAAATCAAAACATCAGATTTTTAATTTGGTTTCCCCCATTTTAACAGTGCTAAAATGAACACCCTTACAAATATCTTGCTTAAATGTCCATCTAAATTTTTTAAGTGGAGATTTCTGGGACTAGGGATCCATAGATCAATTGAAGAGAGTCCAGAAGTTTATTCAGATACGTGTAAAAAACTTAAAATATAAAAAAGGTGGGAGAACAGAGTCAGAATGTATATGGGCACTGACTAATGGTTTGAGAAGTCATTTTATATTGACAGAATTCTAGATCTGCTCCATCTGATGAATTTAAGTTAAAAATTCAGACCTACAGTTGCACTAGCTCTATTTCCAGTGCTCAACAGCCACATGTGATGAGTGGCTATTCCACTGGACAGCAGATGCATAATATTCCCATCATCTAGAGAAAGCTCTATGGGAATCAAAATGTCAGCTACCCTTTCCCTAGTAAAAAGCAGGACCTGAAAAAGACAAGAAAAATATGGAAATCTTTATATAATGTTGTGCAAGGGGAATGCCTTCCCAAGCATGAAACTAAACAAACCAGAAAAATTGGATAGACTATATATACACCCCAAAATTTTAATGGCACTTTAAAAAGTCACCATAAAACACAAAACTAATCTGAGAAAAAAAATATATATATATAATGAAAACTTAACCATAAAAAGCTATTAACAAAAAGTTGGGCACAGTGGCATATATCAATAATCCCAGTGACTCAGGTAGCTGAGGCAGGAGGATCACAAATTCAAGGCCAGGCTTAGCAACTTAATACCCTGTCTCAAATTTTAAAGTAAATACTGGGGATATAGCTCAGTAGTAAAGCACCCCTTGGGTCAATCCCAAGTACAAAAAATAAGCTATAAACAAAAGACAAATATGGTAGAATATTGAACCAAATACATAACTAAGCAATTTAACACGATTATGAAATGATATTTAATCTAGTAATCAAGTAAATGTACATTAAAACATAACTGTCCATAAATTTAACAAACATATTTGAACATTTATAGCCAGGATTTATGGGAGAAAACTAATGTTTGGCACATCTGTAGGCAAGGAGAAATTGATAAAACCTTTCAGGAAGACAACTTCCTACACATCTTCCAGCACCTATAGGGAAAAGCATCCCTTCCACTAGCTTTATGGTGAAAGAATATATATTAGCCTAGGGCTTCTTCTGCAGGAGATCCAGAAAGAAGCCTTGTCAGTGATGCCTCCTGAGCTAATGCTCAAGAAATGTCCATTTAGAAAATTCTACCCATTTATCTGCAATGAGGAAAGTCCACAGTGATGACTTCTCTAGTCTTATAATAAATTTGCTTTGTCACTACTATAGTTTTTTTAATGCTTCTTAAAAATAAATTGTAAAGGGGCTGGGGATATAACTCAGTTGGTAGAGTGCTTTCCTCGCATGTGCAAGACCGTGGGTTCAATACCCAGGACCACAAACAAACAAATTGTAATAATACTTCCCCAGGTAAGTCTAGGGGACTTAATTTGGTTTAACTGGCAGACTGTATTGTGTGGAACATAACTCAATATTATTAGACTGAGTTCTTTTAACTCAGAATTTGGCATTTCATGGTGTGAACTATTCAGCAAAGAAAAATATATTGCTCCCATTATGTGCTTCCCACATCCCCTTTACTGGGGATCAGATCCAGGGCCTTGTATATTCTAGGCTGCCACTCTATCAATGAGCTACATCCTGAGCCCAGGTTGCTATACTAATAGCTACACTTGTTTTACATAGTAAGTTGTTTGTCTTATAACAGTGGAGGGTGGTTCTTCATACCTTTTGGCTCCTGTGCAAACCATTTTCCCAGAGCTAAATATGAGGGCTGTTGTCCTGGGCTCTCGGATCCTCATTATGACTGCGGCAAACCTCTGTACACAGAACCAAGAGAAGAATTAGCCTGTTAGAAGTTAGCACTAGCTCAGTTGAAAACCTGGGATGGATAAGAAAACAGTCTTGAAGAAACAGATTGCATGGAAAAAACAAACAATGGTTTATTAATCATTTACAAAAATTATTGAGAATCTAAAATAATCTAAAATACAAATAGTGACAGTTAAAATTGAGTGCCCATTATGTTTCAGGTTCCGTGTTATGAACTTTACAGGTTATCTCTCATTAATCCTCATGACCCGACTGAGTCCATCATTATCTTCACTTAGTACAGAAGGAAACTAAGTGGTTACTTAACTTCCAATATTATATAGGAAATGGTATGTTTAGGATATAAAGTCACAACTAATCAGACTGTTACGCTGATGTACTCCCCTCCACAAAGGATTTTGGGAAAAGTTCAAGTATAGTATGTTATAGGTGTGCCAAAACTCTAGAGAGTACCCAGGTAACCAAAATACAGAACGGAATATATATAATGACAGACATCCTGAAGATGAAGGAAAAGGCTGCTTTGTCAGGTTCCTGCCTTCCATAGTTCTTAAAGTTGGCAAACTCTCCAGGTGAGGCTGATGCTGTTGAGAATTGAGACCTATTGGTCCTCCACATTGACATGTCATTAAATGACCTGTCTCTCCTGCTGGCCCTCACAGACACTTTCCCAACTCTACTCTCCCCATTTAGCTGAAACCCGAGTCAACACTAACACAGAATTGATCAAGTCTTATTCATGTTTTTCAGGTATTTATTACTGAAAGGTAATAGCCTTACCATTCATTTTGCTAAATTTCTAAGGTAGTGTAAGTGCTAAGCAAGAATTTCTTTGGGAGTCAAGTATAAATTCTGAGAGCTGAAAATAGACTGAAAAATATTTTTGAATGTCAAAAGAGGCTACATGTCCTCCAAAAAGAAATGGGGGGGGGGATGTAGGCAAGATGCTGATTTTTTCAATCATGTTATTAATCATTGCTGTAGCCATAGGAATTCTAGCCGTTTCCTTTTCATAGCCAGCAATATGAACTAAAAGGACAGCTATATTGTATTTGGGTAACACTTAGGTAACATTAAATTTAGATATCAGCAACAATACTACAACAGCAAAAGAAAGTTAATCCAGAAGTAGTTACAAGGACTCTGGGTTCGCACTAATGTGGTCTTTTTCATTTGACTAAATCTCCCACTACCTAAGCCAGTGAACTTTTTCTTGGTAGGAACCAGGTATTCCTTATCTTCATACTCCTAAGTACAGAGCCTGGAAACAACAAAAAAAAAATCAGTAAATGTTGATGGGCTTAACAAATCCAATTCCCACAAGGTCAACAGGTCATTGAAAAGAGCATGCCTGCCCTTGGCAAGGCACAAAGAATAGAGTTTAATAAACTTTGGCAAGTTTATTTCTTACATTAGCAAGTATAAGATTAAATTTTAATTTAGCTTTCTCAACTAAGAGAAACTGTAAATGGAAAAATAGAAGTGTCAGTTAGATGAGACAACATTTAGAATGTATTTCCAGAAACATAATGGCATTTTAAGAAAGCTGAAAATAGACTGAAAAATATTTTTGAATGTCAAAGAAAAGATTAATTTTTAGGAACTACTCAATTACTACTTCATTCAGCACAGAGAATATGATGATGTTGATGATTTTATGGTACTAGGGATTGAACTCAGGGTGCTCTGCCACTGAGATGCATCCCCAGTCCTTTTTATTTTGAGACAGTCTCATTAAATTGCCCAGGCTGGCCTTGAACTTGTGATCCTCTTGCCTCAATCTCTAGAGTAGCTGGGATTACAGTCATGTACCACCAAAGATTATCTTTCATAACTTTTAGATAGTTAATGTTTTAAGTTGCAGAAGCTTTTCATTAGTTTTTTTTAAGAGTTATATTCACATGAAGGAAAGTAAATCTAAAGAGAAGCTACTGGTTGAAAGAAAACTCAGAAATCTTACCTTTGGGTTGTATTCTGCATTTTTGGCTTGCAAAGCTATTTTCTTCAGATCCAGTCTACAGGCCAGGTTTACAGTGGAAACTATGTTCCTAAAGAAATAACTTAGAAAATTATATCAGCTATAAAGAATAAAAATGAAACAACTTATTACCTCCCTCATTTCATAGATTGTGCCACAGAAACTTCCTAGGGAGAGAATTCTTCTCAAAGTGAAGTATATAGTAACAAGGTCCCTAATAAAGTGTACAATCCCAAAGTGAAGTAGTAAATAGCTTTTTCTAAAATTCCATCAGTAAAGTTTTAAATTTTAGACCTATGCCTGAAAACAGAAACCACAATTCCAAAACTATTTGCAAATCAAATCCAATTTTACATCTTCATAGCCAACCCTTACCACAATTTAACAGCAGTGCTTTAGTGTAAACAACATAATCTTTCAAAAATGTATTAACCCTTGACCCCCTCTTAATCAAGAATTGGCACTTCCTTTTACAGAAAACCAAACTGTCTAAAGCCATAATCCATTAGGAAATATTTAATAATGAAATCTGAAATTCTCTTCCATACATTATCTTTCAAAATTGTCATCACATTCAGGAATATAATATGCATACCCAGTAGCATCTATTTAAAAAACAACACTTACTGTATTTGAGGCACAATTCCAGAACATTCTGAAAGAGGGGTCACTGGAGTCATGGGAGTTATGGATGACAGAGGCAAGGTGTCAGAGTTTGTTTTCTCAGAAGAGAGCCAGATTGAATCAGCACTACCAGGGTGCAGATGTGAATGGGAATTTGATAAACTGCTGCTTTTTACGCTCAGCTGTTCGCTGGGTAATGGCAAGCTATTTTGTCGAGTTTTACAATTTTCTTCAGTTTCACACTTGCTTTTAATGATAGTCTGGTCTTTATTTTCTTGGGTAAGTTCATCTGGCAGGAAGCTAAGATCCACAGATGAGAAATCACCGGACGTTTCTCTGACTTCAAGTTGTGAACTAAGTGCAATCTCTGAATTGGATGGATTAGGTAAGTACCCCTCATAAGGTACAACTGGGCTGAACAGGGGAGACACTGGTAGGGCAAGGTCATCCTAGGCAGTTCCCAAAACAGACAAAACACAACAGACAAAACAGCACATTAAACACCAAAGGGATAGCACTATGGCAGGCAGGCAATGTGTTAAGCTTGAGGCATTTCAAGATGGCTTCTACTCATACCCTGCATCTTTCTGTAAAGTATCATTGAGATTCTATTACAGGCAGCTCCTAGCAACTTCAGAGGCTGAGGCAAGAAGATTACAAATTCAAGGCCAGTCTTGAACTTAGACCCGGTCTCCAAAAAAAAAAAAAAAAAAAAGGCTAAGGATATAGCTCTGTGGATGATTTACTTGGATTACATTCCCACTACCAAAAAAAAAAAAAGTATTACAGATTACAAAACAATAACAGGAAAGTATCTTAAAATACAGAAAGAATACTTATCACAAAATGTTTTTAAAACTTCAGTTAAAGACCTAGAAGTGTTTTTGGTGGTTGTCTTTCTGAGAGAGTACTGGGGATTGAACCCAGGGGTGCTTTACCACCAAGCTACATCTCCAGCCCTTTTTTATTTGAAACAGGCTCTCATTAATTTCTTCAAGCCTTGCTAAGCTACTGAGGCTGGCCTTTTATTTGTGATCCTCCTGCCTCACAGGCCACTGGAATTCCAGGTGTGCACCATCACACCCAAGTTGCCACTCTTTAAATCCAATTTTGTAATAGAGACAATTGAACAACCATGTTCTAAATAGTGTATACTTAATAGATTCACTGTACTACTTGTTAATTATAAACTCCAGTTGACTTAAATAACTGAATTTTAAATTCTTATTTTATAAAATATGAAAATATAGTCTTAACTATTAATCAAGACTCACCAAATAACACCAATAACCTAGTGTTTTTTTTTTTTTTTTTTGGTCAAAGGACAGATAAGAGGACATTCTAGTTATGTAATTTACAATAGGAAAAGTTGCTGAAGTTGAAATGTTAAGAATAGTTTAAATCAATGTTTCCTGTTTCCAACCCAGGGAAGCTGTTCAATTACTATTACCCAGCACCTGAGGGCAGCAGCTGATGTAAAAACGTGTTCCATTGCTCCATGCATTACCACCTGCTTTACACAAGGCACAGACCTGGGATCTGGATTTTGAGCCCTGCTTACAGAACAACTGAATGATCACATGCATCATGTTGCATCCTCTGAGTGACCAAGCTCCCTCAACTAACACAATATCTGGCTGGATCCTATCGGACTGCTCTATTATTACAAGACCAGCAGATGGCAGGGGTGACTTGTTCAAAGAACTTGCTTAGAAACATGAAGTTATTATCTTGAAACAAGATTTCTGACGGCTTTCATTTTGAATTATATAATTTTAGACCCCATCTCTCCCCATCCCCACTCCCACCCTAAGAAAAGTGGGTACAAATGGGCCCTAATTCCTCTTCATGGTTTCTTCACTTAAGCCTAGGAATTCAGGACCGCCTTGGGCATCATAGCAAGACCCTGTCTCTTAGGGATGGAAGCCACAGGTGCCTACAGTTCACATTTCCGTAAACCCCATAACCAACAACTCCCCCAGGGAGACTTTCTTTAGCCTATCTTTGGCATCAAACGCTGCCATAGCTTCAAGTACAGCACCAGTGCTGAGCGGAATAGGAGTCTACCTTTGCCTCAGAGAGGCAGAGCCCCGTAGTAGCCAGAAAAGACTAGGGGAAGCAAAGGGAACTCCGTCGTGTTTCGCCTTGGCGCTCAGCAGTAGGGCGGGGCCTTGACTCCGGGACAGTAGTTTCCAGGCTCACCTGGGCAGCGCATCGGTCCAGGTAGAGCTCCAGGTATGTGTTCACCTCCATGGGCGGAGGTCCCACTGTTGCGGACTGAGGACGTGAGCGAGGTGTGGGCACCGGGCGCACAAGCCATTTATCAAACCCTCAGTGGCACGAGGCGAGGCGGGGCCGTGCGGGGCCGGGCAGTGCTCCCCAGGCGCCGCGAATGAAGTGATGAGCGGGATGCAGAATTCACCTGGCCCGCGGCGCACTGGGAAGAGACTGCAGGCTGCAGGCGGGGAGGGGCGGGGAGGGCAGAGAGCCTGCAGGGAGCTGGCCCCACCGCGCGGGAGGAAGGGGCGCTTCCCGGGCTTGCCATCATCGCACCTGGCTCACAGCTGACAGCGCCTGGCCCGTCAATTTCATTTCCTTCAGTACTTGCAAATGCTGCCTTCGCCTCCATAAGTTTCCGCAAGTGGCACACAAAGTGAGTGCAGTGGACCGTGAAAAAAATGAAAGGTTTTCTAGGTTTTTCAGAATCTTTCCTTCCAGGGCTCTCCCCTGCTGTGTTTTTTGTATTAAATGCCTACCTGCCTGCCTTCTTTCCTTCCTTCCTTTTTCTTTTTCTCTCTTCCTCTCCTCTTCCTCCTTTCTCTCCTTCCTTTCTTTTCCCCACCTCTTCTCCTTTTCTTTCCAGTGGAACTTGAAACACCTAACCTAATCAGCTGTAGTATTTTTATGTTACTACTTTTCATCTTCAAATCCCAGGTGGGTCTTCTCCAATCACAGAGAATTTACCAAAAGCCACATACAATTAGGGATCTTGCAGCTCAAGAAGGTAAAGGCAATATCAAATATTCAGAGAGGGGTTATTTTTCTGGAAATCATTATTTTAATTTTGACTGTCTCAGCTTTCATAATAACTTAATTGTGCAGATTCTATAAATATAATTAATGCTTATTATGTAAGAGTTTTCAAAATGAACATGGAGACATACATAAAATGTGTCTTTCTTACTTGATTAAACTCTCTGAGAGCAGGAATTTTGATTACTGATCTTAGTGTCTCTGTACCAAGCTCATCTGCTCAACCAAACTTGGTGGGTGAAAGATATTGTCCTAAAAATGGAGCATGGAGACACATTATAGTAGAGACAGATGGCTCTAGGAATCAGATCACAAAAGAAATCCTCTAGAATTCCTAATCAAGAATGAAGAAAACATTTTGAGAAATCTGAAATTTGATCTAATGGCATGTAATTTAATCTAGTGATTTATATAAGTGAGATAGTCTACAAAAAAAAAAAATGTTTAGCACAGGATCTGCCCAGTAGCTCATTAACTATTGGCTCTTAATTTTGTTTTTCCACTGTTTGGGCTGAATTTTGTTCCCTGAAAGTCATGACTGAAGACTTATTCAAGTATGACTGGTGTCTTTGCAAGAAAAGGCACATGCCTATAATCCCAGAGATTCAGGAGGCTGAGGATCACAAGTTTGAGGCCAGCCTTGGCAACTTAGGGAGACCCTGTCTCAAAAACAAACAAACAAACAGAAAAGCATAAAAGGGGCTGGAGGTTATAACTCAGAGGGAAAGTGTCCCTGGGTTTAATCCCATCCCACCCCCACAAAAGGAAAAAGAGCAAGTCTGGACACAAAGACAACAGGATTGTGAATGTACTGAGAGAAAGGTCATGTAAGGTTAACACAGCCAGAGGCAGCTATCTGCAGACCTAGGAGAGAGGCCTCAGATGACACCAAACCTGCTGATATTTTGTTCTTGGACTTTCAACCTCCAGAACTGTGAGGAAATCAATTTCTGTTGTTTAAACCACCCAGTCTCTGATATTTGTTATGCTAGCCCAAACAGACTAAAATACACAATGTGTCTCATCACACGTGGTGGGCCGAATGCTGAAATGGCCTACTCATATCCCTTAGAAGAAACTGGAGGAAGATTTGCTATGAGGCACATTCTTTACTGCTGGCTTTGAAGATGGATGGGGACATGTTGTGAGGAATGTGGGTGACCTCTAGGACTTTAGAGTGACCTACATTTGACAGCAAGGAGACAGGGACTTCAGTTGTATAACTGCAAGAAACTGAATTTGGCCATCAGTAGTGCATAAGCTTGGAAGTAGATTCTTCCCAGAGCTGCCGGAAAGGCCAGTCTTTGATTTTAGCCTTGTTAGGCTCTGAGCAGTGAATTTGGCTATGCTATCTCCAGACTTGGGACTGATATCACTGTGAACTTATAAACTGGTAATATCTTCAGGTGCTATTTGTAGTAATTGGTTACTCAGAAATGTCAAATAAGTACATTATAAATTTTGAACATTAAGTTGAGACAAATTTGCAGTGATGTGTGGCACAAAGGACAAAGCAAAGGAAGGAGATGTTAACAGTAAGCAAACTTGGGTAAAAACTGGCCACATAAGGATTCCTTCGATTATTTTTATTTTTGTAACTTTTGCAAATTCGAGTATTTCTGAATAAAAACATTCAAAATAAAATAATAGTGATTGGCAGTTGTTGGGCAAGAGTTAATTTATCCAAAATATAAATTTGTTCTTTTTCTGGAAATCTAAGATTGATATGATTTGATTGGATAATAGCTAATTGCTAGCATTCATTAAATTCTAACTATGACCTAAATACTATTCTAAATACTTCATGTACATGAACTCACTTTAGTGTTGCAACAAACTGGAGAGGGAATTACTCTTTTATGCCCAACTTACAGCTTAGTATACTGAGAGGTTAAGTAAAACATCCCAAGTCATACAACTCCTAATCAGAATATCTGATTCTAGAGTCACATACTATGATCTTTCAAGTTAGTACTATGCTTGTTATCCTTTTTGACTCTGATTTATTTTTGCTTCAAAACTTAAAATATTTTGTACTTTGACAAAAGTCAAGAAAATAAAAATTTAAAAAATTATCCAAAAAAATTCTTCTTTAACTTATTATTGTAAAGATTTAAATAAATTGGGAGTATGTGTAAACTTTTACCAAGCAATTGCATGTCCTATTACTTTTTAAAGATTTTCTGTCATTTATTGCTTTTTGTCTGTGTATGGGGGTGGGTGAATGAACCCAGAGATGCTTAACCATTGAGCCATATCCCCAGTCCTTTTTCATTTTTTTAAATTAAATTTATTTATTTATTTTTGGTACCAGGGATTGAACTTGGAGATACTCTACCACTGAGCCACATCCTCAGCCCTATTTTATATTTCATTTAGAGACAGGGTCTCTGTGAGTTGCTTAGCACCTCACTCTTGCTGAGGTTGGCTTTGAACTCACGATCCACCTACCTCAGCCTCCTGAGCTGCTGGGATTACAGGCGTGCATCACCATGCCCAGTCCTTTTTTATTTTTTATTTTGAGACAGGGTTTCCCTAAGTTGCTGAGGGCCTTGCTCAGTTGCTGAGGTTGTCTTTAAACTTGTGATCCTCCTGTCTCAGCCTCCTGAGCTGCTAGGATTACTGGCATGTACCACTGTGCCCAGCTCATTTATCGTTGTTAATATCTTTAAGAGAATAATGCTAACTTAGGTTTACCATGTCTATGGTCATGAAGGGTCTTCAGAAGTCGACTCTATGGAAAATGTGCCTTTAACTCCTAAGAGGACCCATCTCTGAAGATAGAAAATAATAAAATGAGCCCACATTACACATTAAATATAATTTCCATGTAACTAAGAGTTAAATTGCTTGTGATGAGTTGTATTTTGTATCCATTTAAACACATTTATTAATTTTAGCTTTGTAATCTAAAAAGCCTTTTTGGAGCCAATAGCTTTCTGCAGATCTCAAACAGTTAATTGTAAAAAGCTTCTGGGCCCTAGGCACTGGGCCTTGGCTTCTCGAACACAGTCACCACTGTTGGGGCCTGAGATTCTATGGCAAGCAAAATGGAGATGATTGGTCAACAGGTGCAAAGTTACAGGTAGGAGGAATACATTCTGTTGTTCTATTGCACAATAGGGTGAGTATAGCTAACAAATAAATGTAGTTTATATCTAGTATATATTTCAAAATCCTACAAGAAAGGATTTTTAATGTCATTTAAAAATTAAGAAAAGGAAAATGGGAGATGGAAATTTGGTGTTGACTGTTCAGAAACAGTTTCACTAGGGGGCGCTCTCTCCTTTCCATGCAGGCACTATCTTGTGGTTTAGGGAGCAAACAGCTTTTGGGGCCAGTTCACCAAGGAGTGCATGCATCCCCTAGATTTTTTCTTTTTCTTCTTTTTAAAAGATGGATATTTCTTTATGGAAGAAGACCAGAGGATATTTCCAAAAATAAGTAGGATTAGTTACTGTATTGGTCAATGCAAATATCTTTGTACATTTTATACAAGGAGGTTCAATTTATAGTGGCTAAATGAAAGTGCTTGCAGAGGGATATGCATTCACACTACCTTGATGGGTGTTAAATGTGAGGGGCAATTTTGCTGCCTAGGATATAAGTGAAAAGCAAGAATTTGCATAAACGTGATTAGGATTCCAGAGGCCATGTTAGGAAAGAACATTTTTTAATCTGGTGGCAATTTTGTTCGCTGCAGCTTCTCTTTTTCCTGGGAGCCATGGACATGGTTGTGATTAATGTCTACATTGAGCTGTCAGTTTCCAGACAGGGATTTTATAACACAAGAATATGGAGGTGGATTTTAGCATTGCTCGAAGGTCTTTTCTAGATCAAAAATTGATGAATTCTTGTCCTTTCAGTAATCATTTGAAACCAAAATAGCCCCCAGTAATTCATCCTTCCCCTTTGTGGTGGATATGGAGCTTAAACTTCAGTATCTGGGGAGGGACCTGTGTAATGGCTTAGTCAAGGAAGTGCTGCACTCTGCACAAAAACCCTTCTTAGTCCCACATCACGGCCCCACTCAGTCCTTGAAAGTCCTGAATCATAACTGCACCACAGTTCCTCCCTAATAATGCCAAACTTTCTCACCCACTGTGCAGGTGCTAATGGACGCTGTCCCTAAAGACTTGCTGTGTTTGTCATTTTCCCAGGAAAATGGTTCGATTTCTTGTAACATTAAGGGTAAGAATTAAAATTTCACAAGTTCCTTTTTCTTCTTTGGCTAATCTTTATTTCTTTCTCTGTGACTATTTCCAGTAAGAGATTTCTACAATAAAGAATGCATGATTTTAAAAACATACTATAACTGAGAAGTATTATTTATAAGCATGTTTTAGCCATTGTTACATGGAAACATAACAACTTCAATCAGCACTGATTCTGGGCAGGAGAGAGTTGCTTTACCATTTCCCAAACTGAGCACATCCAGGAAATTATGATTGATCCCAGACAGCAGGACCCACCTGCCTAGGCCATACCCAGCAGTACAAACAGATTAGGTCTTACAACGTGTGCTTGGAAAAGTATAGATAACTATTTCAACTTCTGTCTTCTCATTGAACTTTATTTCCTATTACAACATCATGACAAAAATGAATATTTGAGGATGTAACTCAGTGGTGGAGCGTTTGCCTAGAATGTGTGAGGCTCTGGGTTAGATCCCCAGCACCTTGAAACAAAAACAACAAAAAACAAAACAAAACAAAATGGGTATGGTGGTATATGCCTATAATCCCCAATACTGAGGAGGCTTAGGCAGGAGGATCACAAGTTAAAGGCCAGCTTCAGCAACTAAGTGAGCCCCGTCTCAAATAAATGATAAGGAATGTAGTGGTAGGGCACCCCTGGATTCATGCCTCAGTACCTACGCCCCACCCCAACACAATAAAAAAGAAAAAAGAACCTTTATACATTTCTACCCTTGCATGCTATATAATTAGAATAAAGTTGGGGGCTACTCTCTAACATAGTCCCCCCACACCAAGAATTTACATTTAAAAATTTAATTCTGAGCTGGACGTGGTGATGTGCACTCATAATCCCAGACACTTGGGAGGCTGAGGCCAAAAAGATCACAAGTTCAAGGCCAGTCTTGCAACTTAGTATAGCCCTCAGCAATTTAGTAAGACCCTGTCTCAAAATAAATAAAAGGGCTAGGGTGTAGTTCAGTGGGAAAGAGCCCCTAAGTTCTATTCCCAGTACCAAAAAAGAAAAAAAAAAGTTCTAAGAGACATTCTCTATAAACTTGACACACATTTATATTTATTATACCAAATTGAATAAACTTCTGAGATCGCAGCTGTTTATCCATTTGTGAAGGGTCTACTCCAATGTTTCTACCCTGGGAAATGAAGGAAGTTTGTTTTTTGTACTTTTGGGGTTGTGGAGAGAGAAAAATCTGCATTTCCTGTGGTGTAGATTGGGAAGCAGGAGTACTGTGTTCAAGAGCTTGGACATGGAAGTTAGACCTCAGTTTGAATCCTTGCATAATAGCTTATAAGAATTGTGATTATCAGTAGGTTATTTGACATCTGTAAGCCTCAACATTCTCCCCTGAGATGTGCTGTTAATAATGGTCTCTCTCAGAGCTGTAGCAAGGAATAATCAGTGCAGCACTCAGGGCAGGGCTGGTATGGAGTGAGGGCTCAGCCAATAGAGGTGGGCTTAGTAGGATTATCTGCAGTTAAGTGGGAGTAAATAGCCCTCAATTCTAACAGCAAAAGTCTTTTAGAAAACTTCAGAGTGAACCTCTATCTAGAGCTTTGTCCCTCTAGAAGGTAACTTCACAAAACAGCTCATGGGCTTATGTGGAGGAAAATGGTAGTGTGTGTGGAGGAGCAAGGCTACCATGAAAGGCTCCTGCCACTCCTGAGAGGCCCTTAAAAGGCAGCAACCTTTGGCAGGAGGCCCAAGGTAGAAGTGAGTCAGCACACCTACCCAGTTCCCGAACTGAGGCTCCTTCCTATAGCCACTGAGTCACTCTTCCCTTAAACCAGAAGCCTGCCCCTCCCAATGTCCTCTCTTCCCTTCAGTTTCAGAACCACATCAGTGTTAAAGGTACAATGCAAATACAATATAATTACCAAGATGACAGACCAGCAAATGATGTTCTTTATGAAAAGGATTTCTGCTTTGGGTATGAGTGATCGATCTCCAAGGTGTGCTTCTTGTGAGTCAAAGGGAATGACTGTTGGTAAGAACCAATTTAAAAGTGACCAGAAAATAGGTACCAATGAATCCTACCATTATGTACAACTACAGTGTACCAATATCCCACCATTGTGTCTACCCTAAAAAATGGGGTCCTAATTAGAAAAAGATATACCCCATGCTTGTATAATTTTATCAAAATGGATTCTACTGTCATGTATAACTAAGAAGAATCAATTAAAAATATTATCATATCCTAATGATATGTGTGTGTGTGTGTGTGTGTGTGTGTGTGAATAAAAACAGTAACCAGGACAGGACTGTGTATCTTTGAAGAAGATATGGACACTTTTCACTGCTGATGTGGCATTGGATGGAAGCATCACTTCCTTCATGATATTTCCAAATACATCTCTGTGCTGACGTATTTCAAGATGACTTACCTGTTTAGTCATCCATTATTCTATGCCAGACACTTTTTTAGATCCACAGAGATGCCTATCTTTTTTTTTCAGTTGCTGATGGGTCTTTATTTTATTTATTTATATGCAGTGCTGAGGATCAAACCCAGTGCCTCACACATGGTAGGCAAGCACTCTACTACTGAGCCACAACCCCGCCCTGAAATGCCTGTCTTTTTAAAATTAATTAATTAATTTGTTCTAATTAGTTATATATGACAGCAGAATGCATTTCAATTCAAAGTACATAAATGGGGCACAATTTTTCATTTCTCTGATTGTACTCGAAGTAGAGCCACACCGTTTGTGTTCATTATATGTGTACCTAGGGTAATGATATCCATCTCATTCCACCATCTTTCAGATCTCCATCCCCCTCCTTTGCCATCCCTCCACATTGTCCTATCCAAAGTTCCTCCATTCCTCTCATGCCCATTATGGATCAGCATCCACTTATCCGAGAAAACATTTGGCCTTTGGGTTTTTGGGATTGTCTTACTTCACTTAGCATAATTGCCGGGTTGCTCGTGAATAAAACACTCAGGGGTCACTCCAGGGGAACTGGGCTAATTGGGCTGTGCAAAATAACCACACAAGAGACAGAAATACTTTTTTCTTTGGGGTCACTGTGATGGCACCTCTGACATTAAGGGTCTGAAGAAAGAGAGAGAACATGTGCGCTGACCCCTTTTATTGAGGAGAAGCTATTCAAATGAGGCAAGAGGTCAGGTTTCAGGGGGCTGAGTCTAGCTTCATGATGTCTGCTGTCAGCAGGTTGACTGACATCTAGGAAGGCCACACTCAAGGGCAGAGTAAGAGAAGGGGACACACAAAAGGTGTTTCCATGGAACATTCTATCCCAAACAGGGCAAGGGATAATATTACAAAAGAACAGGTGAGCATAGCTCCACCCAAGGGGATGTAGGAAGGCACACCCATTCATGAAGACACAGTCACTTGAACCCTAGAAGACCCTGGTGGCTGCTGCAGGACACTACACCGCTCAGCAGGGGAGTGGACTCAGTCGGTCTCCTAAACATAACATTCTCCAACTCCACAAGATGCCTGTCTTTAAGGAACTTGCAATATAGTAGGGTAGATGAATGAGAAGAAAGAATAATAGCATGAACTGGTGATTCACTACACTAAAGCACTATTCCAAGTTCCTTTAATTTTTATTACACCAAAATGATGCTATGAATAGATGCCATTATTATCTCAATTTCAAAGACCAGGAAACTGAGACCTATGGAAGTTAGTCAGTTCACCCAAAGATAAGCTTTGTATAAAAACACACAACACCACACAGTGAATTCAGTTAAGTGTGTTGGCAGGTTGTAGAAAGGAGAGATTACTTCGGGAGCTAGATGTCGGGGAATACCTCCCAATAAAGCAGGGTCTTCCAGGGTGTCCAAAAGACATGTCCACCCCAAACTTGGGAATGTGATATTATTTGGACTTTGTAGATGTAATTAAGATTCTCAAGATGAGATCACCCTTGGATTTGGGGTGGGCTCTAAATTCAATTTCAGGTGTGAGAAAGGCAGAGGGAGATTTAAGACACTGGAAAACAGAAGGAAAAGGACCACGTAAAGACAGAGACAGAGAATGGCAGCCCCAAGTCAAAGTGCTCAAGCCACCAAAACCTGGGAGAGAGGCAGAGAGCAGAAACCCTCTCAGAGCTTCCAGAGAGCATCAACCCCAGTGACACCTTGATTTTGGACTTGTGGCCTCCAGAATTGTGAGTGAATATGCCTCGGTTGTTTTAAGCCACCCCGTGAATGGTTGTGACAAATACAAAAAGTATGTGGGGGTGGCTGGGAAACCACAGTTAAAGCAGAGACACTGAAATGGGAAAATATGAGGGCCTATGTTTGTAGACATTGAATTGTCCAAAGCACATGGATTAGGACAGCAATGGGTTGTTTAAACTATGGGTTCTGCTAGGCAGGATTTTGAGTGTCAGGTTAGAAAATTAAGATTTTTTTGATGAGCACTGAAGCACTTGATGAGTTGTATATTTAGAAAATTAAGGTGTCCCTGAGCTAGAAGCAGGTAATTCGAGCATGAATTAGGGCAGCGACAGTGGGAAATGAAGAGAAGGGAAGGAGAGAAAATATCTTGCAGGAATTCAAGAGACTTGGTGATCAATAGATTTTCAGTCTGACTTGTTAAGTAGTTTGATTCATATTTTACCTATTATTGTTTATGTGTTTTTGTCTCTGAGGCTGCATGGCACTCACACTTTAAATGAGCTACCCCAAGTCATTTGGCTGCATGTCAAGTTGGATTATTCACTTATTTGTCCTTCCTAGTAGTCCATCTGTGCTGTACACTGAGAATTTTCCCGAGTCTTAGGAGTGTTTCTTTTGCCTCCTCTGCCCCTGTTCCTCCTGCATGCAGTCAACCTATGCAAACTGTTTCATTTCCCACACTGACCTTACCTTAGCACCCATCCTGCCAGAGTTGGGAGCAGGAGGAAGGGTTTTAGGGCTGCTATGCTGGCCTCATTCCAGCATTTTATTATAGCTCCTGTCTTAACAATTCATGCTAGATGCAGAGTAGAGGTGG